GAACAGCTAGTGGGAAAGGTGAGAATAAACACCATACACCACTTTACAGTTATTCATTACATCATTTCAAATAAAATAAGTGGTCCGATCCGAACTATTTTCAATAGCGTTCGTCTCTGAGTTAACACACATCAGCATACCAAAATTCATCAAAATATCTCGCAAATTGCGGTCGGTGGATTGAACAAAACAAAAAATGGCAGAAAACCAGAGGGAGGGACAGACAGTCATAAAAGTTTACATCGATTCAACAAGTTCCTGTAAATCAATTGGTATAATAAAAGATGTGTCTGTCTGCATATGTCCACACAAACTTATTACACCTTTGTATCATCAATTTTCGTAAGGTATACCATAGTGACATTTGTTAACCCAAAAAATATACCATAAGTTCCTAAAAAATCCGTTATATTTCACTCATTTAACATCATCTAAGGTTACAACATTTCCCAAACTTGGAAATAAACTCATCGTGAAACTGCTTCATCAAAATCACCAGCGTGCAAATGGTCTGTTGATTACTGTTTTGAAAAATTCGATGTTAAGGATGGGCTGCGCTCTGTCGACCAATCGTTGATATAATTATTGAAATCGTACAAAAAGTTAAGAAAGATCGACACAATTCGTCTTATGGCATCTGAACTACGGGGCTAAATATTGCCTGCGAAAAAATAACTTTAAACTACTTGCATGAGGCTGGATAGGAAAAGGAAACTTTATATTTAGTTAAGAATTGATTTAACGACACATATATTATTGCACTGAATTTCCATCTAAGGATGCCCGTCGAAACGAAACCCAATCGAAAGAATTTTCAAAAGTGAGTCATAGAAGATATTAATGAAAGAAAAAGATCGTAGCTCAAAATAAATAAAGCTAAAGAAACGCCACTTGCCGCCACCTAAACTGAATCCGTCACTTCGGTAGCATTGGGAGGCAAATGGAATTGATTTTACTCTCGACTGTCAACCACTGGTGTAATTGGGATGAAGTACTCACAATTCATCAATAAGAAAGGCTACGTTTTCTATCACGATAATTCCAAACCACATTTTTTTTTTTTTTTAAATACTAATCAGTCAGGGTATGTCCCTCGTTCGCGTAATGCGATGACGGTCAGAAAGAACTGAGGAAAGCGAAAAATGGAAAGAAATAGGGAGACAGTGTAGTCGACCAAACTCTACCATATTAACATTTAAACTAACCAACACCGACGGAGACCATATAAATCTCTAAAAATGCGAAGAAAGAGCTTAGCTCAGAGATTCTAATACATCCACTACTCCGTACCCCATCCGATTATCGTTTTCTTCGTTCGCTGTAGGATTCGCTACATTGTGGGAGACTGACCGCAAAAGCCTAGGCGGTCCAAGCTCGGTAAGGTTGATTTCTTTATCAATTTACTCTTACGAAATAATTTTTACCCTGAGATATTGAAAATTAGACCTTTTCCCCTTATAAAGATTCCGTTTTCGTAAGAACGGTTATATTGGAGGTGTTCAAAAGATTAACCCAGCCGAACCAAATTCTTCATATCAATTTAGAATGTCCAAATACTATTACTAGGCGATTTTTGTCGTGCTATTCTAAAAATTACAATATTTTTTCATATAACGGCCTATTAAAACAAGGCTTTTCATGGGGAGTGTTCGCAAAAGTTTCAATAGCGTTCAAGCGTTCGTCCTTAGGTCAAAGCACGTTAGTGCTATCTCAAAAACTTGTAGGTTGAACACGAAAATGCATGGTCTGGCATCAGACGGATAGACGGACAGTCAGGCAGAAACAGAAAACTTAGACCGATTTTGAAAATGATTCTAGATCGATCGGTATAAAAAAAGCTGGCTGTATCTTAAGCCCCTTTGGGTGTTACATAGGCCCACACAAAGCTAACAAACCCTTTACTACAAGTGGTATGCCGTGGAAAAAAACTATTTAGGAATATGACAGGTTACGGTATTATTTTTAGTGTGTACATATGCATCTGATCTTCGTTTCAAGAAAACCTACACCAAAAATTTTTAAGAAAAATACATCTGATTTATAAGCTCGTGAGGCTCACTTGCTACGATTGTTCGCTTAGAAATCTCAAAACTTCTGTAATGAATGGGTGCACCAGACAAATGACAAAAATTCTAGATCAGAAACGGGTTTGAGAGTAAAGGCCATGAATATTTTGCTTGATCATAACTGTTTGTTTTGATTCCATGCGATCCATTATGTCGCTAATGCGCGCTTAAGGGGTTAAACATAATGAGATCGTGTTTATATTTCCAAGACAAGGGAAGAAATTAATTTATAAATGTGTAACATATACATCTATACAAATACAGATTCATATATACTTTTTATAATGTACATTATAATTATATAGTGTGTGTGAACAAAACTGTAAAATTCATAAAATTTAAAAGTTAATTTCTCTCCGACGATTGGAAATATAAGCGCGGCCTGCTTGTGTCAAATGCGTATTAGTCTCTTAAATCGAGGGGTAAATCCTCCCAGAGCAAAGTCATTCAATAATGGGAAAAACGCAAGCATTAAACTAAGATAGTAAGAAACTAAAAAAAAAATTGTTTGAGTTTGTGTGTATGTGCAAAATTATCTAAAATCGGTTATTTGCTTTTGGGAAATTTTTCGATTTTCCCCACTTTGGTCAAACGATTATTCAATTCCTATTTAACGGGAAACATTTGAGCAATTTCTTGCAACTCGGCAATACTAGGAAAAGAAGGTTGAGTTATTTGTTTCTATTGTATTTTATATGTTTTGTGTGTTTGATAAGAGTTGCAAATTAACGAAAATTAGTGCATTTAACTTGTAAAGACTTTAAGGCTAACTTTAATCTCATTAATCAAAGGATAAGCAAACAAAATATGAATTAAGATAAATCTAATAAAAGAATGACTATCGTTAGGACAAGTGATTGTAAGTCGAATGGATGGATGGGCAAGGTGTGACAGTGAAAAAATTCGATTTGTGTGTCGAAGTGACTTCAAGTGGAAAAGCAATAAAGGAGAAAAATCTCTATAAATAAGTTGTTGAAATGGATGTGTGTAGCTTAATGAAGTGAAAAGATTAATTTAGGTATTTTAAAAAAAAAGTTCGTTTTTATAAAACTAAATTTTAAAGAAATATATATGTTAAACATAACAAAGTTTGATATATATATATACGATTTTATTAATCAAATACTAATCGATTAGAAGCAGTTAGCAAAAGAGAAAATTAAGAATATATATATGTATATATATGAATATATATATATACATATATATGTATATATAAAATGAAAATTTCTTCTCCATTCTTATTATTTTTTTCTATTTTTTTTTGTTGTAAAATCTTTTGCTGTAAATGTAATTTGAGTGTTATGTGTATCTTATAGATACATATACAGTACATGCATTCGCACAGTAATACATAACTAAAAACCATTACTCTATGCATAGAGTTATGCCGCAACAACAACGTACAACCAACTAATGCTGCATATTTACTTTAAGAGTGAGTTTAATCTAAAACAAAAAAATAAATAAATAAAATAACATACCTCTATATAATTATAATGACATGATTTATTAGTAACCGTCGAAAAAAAAAAAAGAGAAGAAGAAAAACAAGAAGCAATAATAATCCTTTGCGATGGATGTATAAACATAACATGAGAAGACAAAATGAAAAGAAAACACAAAAACATATGTAGAAGAAATAGAGTTTGCGGATAACTTATCTGGAATTAAATTTAGGTCGTTAATCGGCTTATGCATTTTATGCATAGAATATTCCCCCACATATACTTTAATTAAAAGAAAGAAATGCAATCATTTTTATTAATGTTTCGCTAAAAAATAGGACCAATGTTGTGCATATTGATTGATTGATTGATACCTTGTGCAAATAACTTTGAAACTTCACAACTATACAAAATGAACAGAATGGGATTCTCAAATTTGCACACAAACTACACAAATTTTTACAACGCCATACAAATATGAAAGCCAATTAGAACTCTGTTAAATGACCTGACAAACTTTCTTATCGAGCAAACATATCTTTGAAAGTCTAACAAATTAGTATTGTGGTTTCTCGTGAAAAAATTAAAAGTGAATAGATTTAATGAAATGCCTGTGATTTTATTTTATATTTTGTAGGACCTTTTTTAATGTGCTAAATTTTGGCTTTCCTTTAATTCACTTGTATTTCTTCCACTCTATGTTGTTCTTTAATAGCCTATCGTAAAACTTTAAACATTACACTTCACACGCTCCAACTTACCGTATATAGTTATGTAAACAAAATTGAATTGTTTTAATAATGAAATAGCAATAATAAAAGTATTGTGGAGAATAGCAAAGTTCAACACAGCATATAATGTGGAATGCTTTCTTTAAACATTCCCTACAGTGGTTTGATTAATCCTTACATTTCACTTATTCGATACAAATGAATGTCTACAGTCACTGAGATATATCTTGATCATGTAACGAAAGAACAAATGACCACTTGACACGCTCTGTGGCTTTCTTCAACGTAAACGTTGGGAATTAAAAGTAATAAAACTCTTTCAAAAAAATAATTTCATTCGAATTAAAACGCCAGGAAGCAAACCGGCCTTCACCTAAATGAAAAAAAAAAAAAAAAATGATCCGCACCATCGTTTATATATATTTCTGAAATTAATGTCATGTTAAATGATCGTCTTGTTGGGGAGTCTACGAGAACCTAGCCTTGATACTATAACATTGTCTTCCAAACACCCACTCAAAGATGCTTCTTGCCTCGTTCGGGAGAACATAATGCAAGATTGGAGAGACAAATAGCAAGACATATAATGGAGGCTTGACGATCGCCTCTTTTATAGAATTCGTCTCTTCGCAACTTTTGAGTTCCTCTTGAATAGCATCTTCATTTTTTTATACCCATCACCGAAGGATAAGGGGTACATTCATTTGGTCAAAACGTTTACAGCGCCCAGGAGAAAGCATCAGACACCCCACAAAGTATACATATTCTTGATCGGCATCAAATTCTAAATTGATTTAAACATGTCTGCCTGTCTGTCTGTCTCTCATTCTTCTGATTGCAAAAATGGAGCTATCGACTTCAAATTTGGCAAAAAGATTGGAAGTTCTTGTACGCTGGCCAAATCGTTCCAAGAACACGCCCACAGCGCCATGTAGACTGAGGACACCTGTGTTTTTCAAAAGAAATAAATTTAAACATGTCCACCTATCCGTCTGTCCATCTGTCTGTTGGCACCACTTTATTACACATTGTCCCGTTAGCGAAAATGAGGAAATAAGCCGATTAAAGAGTTATTCAGCTAATGGCCTGTCTGGTCAGCTGACTGTAGCCAAGTTTCATGCTAAGAAGTCCTTTAATGATATGTACAGCCAAAAACGGAAATAAGGCAAAGTTTCAAGGAATTATTCCATTCAAGCCTAAATGTTTACCGCGTTGTTTTGGTCTCCAGTTCTTTCAGGAGAAACTTATTAGACATCTTATCTATTGTTTTGTTTGTTTTAAAACTATTTACCGCAATTTTTCTTTTATCTGGTCCAACTATTTAAAATTAATTTATGTAAGTCTAGCCTATCTGCTTTTGTCCCATTAGACGGGCATCTATACGTTTTATATATCTCAACCTCTTAATCTGCCTTAGTCAAGCTTCAGTTACGATATTTTACTCCGGTTCTGCTGACATCAGGTTTTTAGCCATTTTACTTTGTTGGAAAGCCTTATATATCAAAGTATTTGTGTTCTTGGAAAAAACTGTAAAACAGCCTTAACAGTCGTTATAGTTTTGCAAATTCAAAACTCAAAGTGTATAATTATTTTGAAGAAACGGTTAAGAGAATTTCTATTAGAAATCAAATTCGGTTCTAGATGTTCATTACGAAATAGCAGAAAAATATTTATTCCTCAACGTGCCGTATAGCGTTCGCTTAGCCAATAAGTGGAGAAAGATGAATTCCACGGAAAGCCACATGTCAACATGCATTTTAACCTACAGAAGGAGGAGAAATATACAAAGACAAAATTAATATAATCAAAAAACAAGAAAAACAAGAATAATAATTAATGGCGACTACGATCGATGAAAAGCTTCCGGACAATCATGACTGAAGTACCCGTACAGTTTGAAGCCGAAACGAATAATCTTGTACAGTAGTGAAAACCCTGGAAAAAATGGGTAATTACGCGAAGCCAGAAGCCAAACAAAATGTATAGCGTAGATTGTGTTGCTGAAATTGTGCGGTTAGCCCGAAAATTCTCTGCCATAAACTTGTTCGCAAACTGGAATTAAATAAGATGGTAAAGACCTTACCACGCATAATCCTTTCCGAGATTTAGTCATAGATTTTTTACACTTCACAAGAAATAAATGACGTATTGTAGAGATCGAATGCACAGATACGAGGGAGCCGGTATAACGGTATGTCCAACTGTCTTTCGGCGACAATCTGAATGTTATTATAGGCCGTTGAAAAGGGTAAGTGTCCTACGCGGAATCAAATTGTAGTAAGGGTTTTTGATGTTTCATCCGCTGGCATAATAAAAAGATGCCTTATATAGCTGACAACTAGATTAGAGCGGACGAAAAGATTAACATAAATTTACTGATAAACATGATTAAGCACGAATTGTAAGATTAAGTAGGAAAGTACGAATTACCAAAAACGTTAAAGGATTAACGAAAACGTCGAAAAAAAAAGTAGTATTCGTTAGGTGTTTTGAGGGTTTACAAGAAGCAAGAAAGTTGATCAAAGCGAAGAAGCCAATCAAGTGCGCTCAATGGAGTAAAATGTAGAATGATAAACATCTATACATCAGCTGTAACTAAGTTTCTCTGAACTTTGTAAATGATTTTCTGTAAAAATAGTTCTTGTAAATATGTAAACAAAGACCTACTTACTCTATTCACAATTCGGTGACGCAAATTTAATTCGATGAACACTAGGGACAATACATAAAAGTGAAGGAATTTCACATAACATTATCTTATTTTATTAAAGTTTTTTCTTAATCTTTTAGTTCCATCACTAATTTGCAAAACCTGAAGAGAAAACCTAAAGATTTAAGATGGATACGCAATCGGAGTTAAATTATTTAGCAAATATGAAACCGCCAGACACGTTTGGTCATCCCAAGTACCCTCCGTACGATTCATTGAACAGGCAGAATACGGAGATGGCAACGCAACTGATGCCAACTCAACCGTTGGTTACGCATGTAGAGCATATACCCCCACCTCCTGCAGCACTAGCGGGCAATAATTTGCCTTTTGCTCCTCTAATGTCAATGGCGAGTGCGACTGTTCCTTTAAATACAACCTTAGACTCGTTGACTAACAACACCAGTGTCGATACAAGCAATCAACATGTTGATAATGAAAATATTAATAATGATTGCAATAATATCAACTCTAGCAATCCAGAAGCTCAGAAAAGAAAATCCAGCACGGAGACGCAAAGCGATCTAAACCAGTTATTACAGAAACGAGAAAAGACAGTTTTGCCGCCTATCGATGAAAAAAAGAAACGTAAAAATATACGTGACGTTATGGATACCAATCAATTGGATACAAACACTCTTAAGGCTCAACATGAAGAGTCCGAACGTTTGGCGCGCATGGCTGAACAACAGAAATTGCTACGTGAATACCAGCAACGAGAGGCTGTGCTAACGCATTTTGATCGCTTTGTAAACGAACATAGGGTCAAGAATCCTGAAGATTTATTGGAACTAAGCGGTAGTCCTAAAAGTAGTAGCGTTTTAGAAGATGATAGCAAACAATCTCAAACCACGACGGAAACTGAGACCCAAGATGTAAGAGATGATGATGACAAAATAAAGGCACCAGCGGAAGTGGTGACCATCGAAGATAGTTCCTCAGATGACGATTGCATTGTACTGTCCGATGACGAAGAAGATGTTGAGGAAGATATAGATGATCCCGAGAATAGCGGCTTGCATGTGAAGGATGAGTTTAATATACCCGATCATATAGGACGAGTGGTAATTAATGTGGGTCATCCCGATAGTGAGGAGGACATATTCATAGCACCGCAAATAGCAAGAACTATTAAGCCGCATCAAATAGGCGGCATACGTTTTTTGTTTGATAACGTTATCGAATCCACCACACGTTTCAAAACGTCAGGCGGCTTTGGTTGCATTTTGGCTCATTCCATGGGTTTAGGTAAAACGCTACAAGTAGTTTGCTTCTGTGATATATTCCTGAGGTACACACCCTCCAAATATGTAGTTTGTGTTATGCCCATAAACACCCTACAAAACTGGAATGCGGAATTCGATATGTGGATTCCTAAAATGTCTGAAAATCCCGAATACGTGAGGCCGAGGAATTTTGATGTGTTCGTTTTAAATGACCAGCATAAAACATTCAGTGCCCGCGCTCGTATAATCTTGCAATGGAGAGAACAAGGCGGTGTTTTATTGATCGGTTATGAATTATTTCGTTTGATGGCCCTAAAACTTAGCACAACGGGAAAAAGGCGCAGCAAGAAATCACAGTTAAGAAATGACGAATTGGATGAATCCCATCATCGTTTAATGGATGAAATTTACGAGGCATTAGTTAGACCTGGTCCCGATTTAGTGATATGTGACGAAGGACATCGTATTAAAAACTCCCAAGCAGGTATATCACAAGCTCTTAAACAAATACGTACCCGCAGGCGCATTGTTTTGACTGGTTATCCATTACAAAACAATTTAGTAGAATATTGGTGTATGGTGGACTTTGTCAGGCCCAATTATTTAGGAACTAAAACTGAATTCTGCAATATGTTCGAAAGACCTATACAGAATGGTTTGTGCGTAGACTCAACGCCAGACGACATAAAACTGATGCGCTATAGAGCTCACGTGCTGCACTCATTGTTGGTAGGCTTTGTACAGAGACGTTCTCATACGGTGTTACAGCAATCACTGCCTGAGAAACAAGAATTCGTTATATTAACCAGAATGACAGACTTGCAAAGGCAGTTGTACGATACTTTCATGAACGATATAGTGCGTACGAAAAACGTACCGAATCCTCTGAAGGCTTTCGCTGTGTGTTGTAAAATTTGGAATCATCCAGACGTACTTTACGACGCCATTAAAGTGGCAGAATATGGTTTCGACTTGGATATTGAAGAGGTAGAGGAAATCGCTCCTAATATATCTAATATTAACAAAGATGGATTCCCACCACCCATACCGGCGCCACCACCTCCTCTTCTGGCAACACAATTATCAACCATCAACACTTTTGATAAATCTGTTAGTTCAATACAAATGCCTGCTGTTTCACTACAAAATACAACAGCTCCGAGTTTAAATTCAGTAACTTCAGTCCACAATATCACATCAAATCCACATGGAGGAGGAAATTTATTGCAGAACAGCAGCTACAACAACATAAATTGCAATAATATAACAGGAACACAAAATCCCACCACAGCCCTTAGTGCGACGTCTAATGCAATGAACTATCAAAGGTAAAACCGCCTGAAACCAATTAAAATTATGCCACAATATTAATAACTATTTTTGACTCTTATGCTTTTTAGTGCGAATACGTTGTATGGCGATTTAAATCAATACGATAATTCATCTTTTAACACCACCCCCAATCACAGCACGTATCCGCAGGATTTGCAATCATCGTATTTCCCATATTCATCGATGCTTAGCTCCATGGGCAGTCCGTTGAAACCTAACTACGTAGGCTGTATGGTTAAACAACCAGTTACCGATAATATGCCGGCGGAGGAAAATCACAATTCTTCTTCGGAAATTGTTGATTTAGATACAAAAGAAATAAAAACCATCGAAACTGATATTGATATGGATAAGAATATTAGCATGAATAAGGATGAATTGCAGAAACCCATAAATGCTGTAGACGTGGAATCTAAATCCGAAATTGATATCTCGACGCCGGGACTGACGAGTGTTTTAGAAAATAACGAAGGAGAACAGAGGCGAGGCTGCGATAAAATTACATATGACTGGGCTTCCAAACTTATCAAAAAATATGAACCGGGCTTGATAACGAATTCGCCCAAGATGGAAATTTTCTTTTGCATTCTTAACGAGAGCATTCGTATCGGTGATCGTGTACTGTTGTTCAGTCAAAGTTTACTTACGTTAAATTTAATTGAAAAGTTTTTGCAAGTCAATCAAGTACCGGGTACAGATTTTTGTTGGACTTTTGGCCGAAATTATTTTCGTAAGTTTTTCTAACATTAATTTTATTTATATATTATTTTATTTTTCCTATCTTTTTCTATGTCGAAAAAAACAGGTTTGGATGGTTCAACTACTTCACAGGAACGTGAAAGATTAGTTAATGAATTCAATTTGAATACAAATGTAAAATTGTTCCTTATCTCCACCAAAGCTGGTTCACTGGGCATTAATTTGGTGGGTGCCAACCGTGTTATTATATTTGACGCCAGTTGGAATCCTTGTCACGACACCCAGGCTATATACCGGATATATAGGTGAGCAAATGTGAAATGCAAAAGAAAAATGTAGCGAATTAACGACTTGTAAGTAAAAGTGAATGTTGACTTGTCTATGATTTCTCAAGATGTACCCTATTTTTTAATGTTATATTGTTTGGCGCGTTGGCCTGTTACTCATATTGAATTGTTCATAATTAACACATTGCAGATATGGTCAAAAGCGCTCTTGTTATATCTATCGTATAGTAATGGACAAATGTTTAGAAAAAAAAATCTACGATCGTCAAATTAAAAAACAGGGCATGTCTGATCGCGTAGTGGATGAATGTAATCCTGATAATCATTTATCTATAAAAGATGTAACGAACCTTTGCTATGACTATGATGACGACGAAGATAAAAGTAATGCAGTGGAATTCCAAAAACCCTTGGATTCGTATACGGATGTAATAATGAGAAAAATTTTGGAGGAATATAAAGCACTGCTGACCAAAGAACCATTCTTCCATGAGAGTTTGTTAGTGGACCGTAAAAATGATAAGTTATCGCAAGCGGAAAAAAGACTAGCCCATCGCAGCTACGAAATGCAAAAGAAGACATCATCGAAGCAGACCTTCATTAGCACTGGAAGCCGCGTACAGTTCCAAACAATACGAAAGGATGGGGCATTAATAACAAAACCGATAGCTTCGGTAAGCACACAGAAAAGTATCTAAGAATTTTATAAATCTTTTTCTTGACCCTCCAGGTGCGGCCAATGCAAGCTCCCCGCTCACAAACTACTCAAAAATACAGCAGTGGTCTACGCTCCACTAGATGGATACCAGCTGAAGTATGGCAAAAGCAAGGCATGACAGCTCAGGAAATGTCTCTACCTTTGGGTAAAATATATCTAAAATAATCGAAAATTAACATTCAATCCTTGCTCTATTTTTTGTCCTAGACGTTGTCATACCCACAAATTCCAGCAATAAATCAAAAATTGTTATTAAAGCTGGGCAAAGGGTGATGGTTTTGAAATCTGCCAAAGGCATTTATATGCAGTTGGACAGTGGCAAAATTATCGCCATACGTACGATGAACAAGCCGAATGCCATTAGTAAAGGCGATAAACCGGATGTTATCGATATAACAGGAGAAACAGAGACTGCAACAAACGACTCGAAAACCGATAAGGCTGAAACAGAAACAACAAATAGTTCTTTTACTGGTATATTTAGGATATTGTTATTGATCCCGGTATTTTATTGAAAAATAATTTTATTTTTTGATGCTTCAGATTCATCTATGGATGTAGACAGTTCAACTTCCACCTCAAGTGGCTTACAAAAATCGGTTAAAATGGAAATTGATAAAAATACTGAGGAATCGTTGAAGACGACAACAACTGAAAATCCGACGCAATCACAATTTAATAATAACCATTTAGCCTTATTTAATAATACAACAAACACTAGTAATACTTCCAATATATCAGCAAACGCAAATCATTTTAAAAACAACAACCATAATAATATACTTAATTCAATGAAAACAGAGAATGCCAACCAACAACATCAACGAGGACAAACGCATCAGCATTTGTCGAACGCTGATAATCGGCAGCAAACGCATTTAAATACACAACAGCATCCAATGCAACATCAGTCGTCTCAACAGCAACATCAGCCACAGCATCTAGCGCTAAGCCAAACTCATAACGAAATTAAACAATCAAATGAAGCGCATAGTGCTCATGCGGGCGCTCACAACTTACATCAACATACGACATCGACTTACGGTACGGCTGGCCATCATACATCTCATCAGCATCATGCCCATCATCCACAGGCGTTTTATGCGCAAACACATGCGTATGCTACCTCTCAAGGTCATCATTCGCAAACTCAAAATCTACGTAATGCTCATCATTACTCGGCTCATACCCGCTCATCGGATATTTCGCCCTATACAACATACTCAACAGCCCAATATACTGACTTTCCGACGTATGCCTCGCATGAGAGCTTAACACAGCAGAATGCACGTTACCATCCAACTGGCGGCAGTCACAATAATCTCTCTTCCCAGCCTCATCCCAGTGCGTTAACTGATTTTTATGCCTCATATTATCCGCAGTGGTCACCGTTTATGCTGCCGCCGCCGCCGCCAACGACAAAAGCTGCTGTCACTCCACACCCCGCAACAAACGCCAGCGATACTAATCATTTAATGCATCATTCCTATCCGTCGGCCCATACTCATTCTTCGCACTCCATGTCGAAGGTGCAGACAACAAATAATGCAGGCAATCAGTGGCAACAATATCAATAATGTAAGCAAACAGCATCAATCGTTTTACCATCAACGTCACCATTAACACATTTATGAACAATGCCCCTACTATAATATAACGCAAAACAAACATGTGCATAATTAAGTAATGAACTTAAAAAATTTTATTTCAATCACTCCACTGGCACGCGCATCCATAAAATTATAATTAATATACTTAAAATAATTTAGATATAAATGATGTTTAAGAAAAGAAGAGTAATAATTAAAATAATTAATAAAGTATTATTTTAAATGAATTATATATGAATTATAGAATATAGAACAGAAAGCTACAAACTCTGCTGTGTTATTTTTTCTATCTCATTTTCATGTCCAGAAATATGCGCAAAAGATTGTGTATTATAACCTTATCCTTATAGAAATCACCCAACTACAACTCAATTTTATCTCATACTCAATACCCAATATTTTTGTGCTTTATAACTATCAATAAGAATTGAAAACCGAATTCTATTAAGATGTGAGCATTAGCTTGATTATTTGATTTCATTGACCGATTGATCGTGCCGGAACGCATACGTGGAGCAGGAGGCACGATAACGCAATCAGGTCTAGCCAAAAGCATTTTCTTTTTCTTCTGTTCACTGAGCTTGTTGTTGATTTGGGGGCCTGGGTATCTCGTGAGAGTTCAGTAATGCTCTCGACATGGTGCCATATATAAAAATTAAAAGACTTTACCGAGGAATATTAACATACTTTATCAAGCCATTGACAATTTTAGAAAAACATTCTTGAGTATTCAAAATCATTTCTAGCACACTAAGAGATCTTTGAAGGGCATTAGTGAATCCAGAAAATAAGATTCGTCGCTGTTGCCTGCTATTAGATGCAAAAGAAAAAAACTCTTTACGCTGGGTTTCGCTTCCGGAGTATGGAACACTAACTTGTCTACTTCTTTTTCCGTGATAATCTCTCCGAATATATTATTTAAAAATACCTATAGTAAATTGCGCAACGCATCTTCTTCTTAGGGTCAAGACAAAACATAATTTTTTTAAGAATATTCCCAGTTGGCATACGCACTGACTTCAGGTGCAGGCCGGTAAACTAGCGTCCAGCAATTTTTGAGGTAATTTCTGCAAAAGCGTAGCCACAGTAAAGTGAGATTTGTACCCGGAGAATCTCTGTCTCTTCAGGTTGGGCACTTAAGTGTTTGCGGTTAAATTTATGTTTCTGATCGTATGAAGATTGCTTCGGTAATACGGCGATTAAGGTAGATAGGTACTAATACCGTAATTATAACATGCAACACATGTTTCGAGGCATTTACCTGCAAAAGGCAACGTACCTTGTAAATAGAGTTCACTGTACCCAGCGGTCGATTCCGTTTTTTCATCCTCTTCAACTTGATCTTCCAAATCTTGAGCCAATGTTTGATTATTGCCTTCAGTATTCTCTTTCTCTTTATTTGTTGCAAACTTCTTCTTCACTACACTCCAAATCTGTTTTGTTTTCTCTGTCCGCTTTTCTCAATCATATCAATATTTTTATTGTTTTCTTGTAGTTCATTTTTCAATTTTTCCAAGACCGCTTGATCTTCCTTTTATTCTTGAGACAAATCATTATTTCGACAGCGGAATCTATTTGATAAAGGCATACAACAACAAAATTACAGAATTTATAAAAGAGCGAAATAAGGGCACATTTGAATAACATAATAGTAGCATACAATAATGAAATAGTACAAAAATTGAATTTCAGATATGTACAATATGTAGAACTTTTTACTTATAATACTCAGTGAAACAAAGGTTCTTCATATAACAATTTATCAAAAATACTTTTTATTTAAGCTTAACAATGCTTTACAATGCTTAATAATGCTTAATTTTGCTCAATTTTGAAATGATTAAGGATGGTTAAAACTATAAGAAAGGTGCTATGTAGATTCAATTGAATCCGTTTTAAAGCAATTTTTGTTGTTGTTCGCTCTTAGGAATTTGGGACCCGCTGGTTTCGCTGCCTCCTTAGTCATATATTTGCTCTTCCGCTCTGCCATTAAAATGCGCTATCGAATATCACTCATCATTATGTCTGTTCGATTGCATCTACATTACCCATCGCTCTAAAAGGTATGCACTATTACCTGAAAGTATTTGAATGGTACAGTCATATACCCCTTTACATTATTACAGGGTTTAATAAGGAGCCAACCACCAATGTGACTCCCAGTCCAATGGTGTTCCAGCTAAGATTTATACATATTTTTATACAGATTGTCCATAAATGAGAGTAGAACTCCGGCAGTTATTCTTATAGAAATCTGTAATTAATTAAATGAAACAGTATCTCGCTGCCTTCGCGATGAAAAGGGAATGTCCTTGTCCGTATGAGATCATCGTACGGTATTTCATGAACCTGGACTAACACAATAGCTATGGATAAGGGAAGGATTACCAGGCCGAAGGATAATCAAGCCAGACCTATTTCAGGATACAGCGCCATCCAGGAACATTCCGAAAGAAAAAAATATGACTTCACTCATATCACATACTGGACTATCGCCAAACAAGTAAAGAAAAATTTGTGACCGCGGGCGGCTCCCATCAGCACTCGACGTGCTGAAGTTAATATAACGATACATCTTAGAGAATTCAAGAAAACTACTTAGCTGGGAATATCTTACTTAGTGTGTATACTATTTGTATTTTGCTGTTGCCAAGTGAATTTGTTAGAATATTTTCTATGACATCACTAAGAGAAGCCCAGTCTGAATGCATAAGTAGTTTATGTAGAGGCAAATGGCTACTTTAAAGATATGAATAGTTCAGAGACTTTAACTTAGTGAGATCAATGGAACTCGATGTAAGATTGTACTATCTGTAAATATAAGAGTGTGGAGAATGTGTGGAACGTATAGAATCAACATGGGGTTGTAATAAGATCTTGATTGGTTTACGATAAGTAAGCATGAAACCTCAAAAAAGTGAAAAGAAAGACACAATTTAGTCACTTGCAACTTGGTGTGGCCATGGCGGGTGTTCTTAATTTTTACACGTAAAGAGTGGAGTGCTTCATAGGGTAAATGTGGAAAATTTCAGGATTTTAACTTTAATAATTTCCGTGTAACGAGCAAAAATCCAGAAATTTTTGTTAAAAAAAATTGAGTTACACACAGATACACAGACGGATGGACATGGCTAATTCGATCCGGGATTTCACGCTGATCAAGAATATATATATATATATTTTATAGGGTCTCTGGAGCTTGCTTTTGGGTGTCACATATATTTTGAAAAAAATAAAATGAGTGTAACACCATCATACAGTGATGGGTATAAAAATGCCAAAATAACCAACGAAACAAACGGTACATACATGAATATATTTAAAAAAAACGAAAAACTATCTCAAAATATATTTAAAAAAAAATTAGAAGTGAACGAATGAAACAAACATATACATATACATATATAACAAAGAATAGCAAGTATACAATCATATAAGCAATACATTACATCAAGTCATGTTTAACGAACATCGGACAAAGGCTAGGTGGGCATGTATTCACCAAGTAATTGACAGAGAAGCGCTTCCTGGAAATACGATGGGAGGCTAGTTAATAATCTTCTTTTTTTTTTCATCACAAGTGAAGAGTACGTACTATATTTTCTTGCAACTTGCGGTTCATACATATTCTTTTTGTCTATCCAACCGTAACTAGGGTATTAGGGTGTGCTTGCTGGCATATGACGTATACCTTTTTCCCGTACGCTTTCTTTATTATCCACTTTGAATAAGTTTCAAAATAACTTCCTCGAGAAGACAGATGTCTCTTGGGGTTTAACGTCTGCACCTGGCTTGATGCCTTAATCAGACGGGTTGCCTACAACCATAGGCACTCACTTAAGTCGAGTGATCACCCCCCGGGGGGAAAAACAATCCCCTAATAAGAGGGCCTTTCTTACCCCGAGATGCGCAGATGGTGCACCGTCCTCGAGAAGACAATTCAATGCTTGAGTTTTTTTGGAGCACTTAGATAGAAGCAATGATAAAATTACCCAAATCTAATTTCACGCCTCGTCCAGAAACAATCTTTTCTGGCATTTCTTTAAAACTCTGTAAGCGTCTGTCGTAATCTGGTGCCTCTAATCAGGGTTCATCCTATACATTAAAAAGCAATACTAGTCTAGCAATATTCTTTAAGTCCTCGTTCCTTATGTTTAATTCTGGCTACATCAACTACACGATCACACAAATGCTTGCGTGCTGAAACCTGTTGTGTCTGTCCAAAGAAAGGGGCCAATTTCGACGAATAAGATTCACACTTACCTAACTAGCGAAGATAGTTACTAATCTGGTGGTGTTTCATTTTTGTTATTCATTAGCAATTGAATGATATAAAAAAAAGATGTTCTCTTTATCTTTTAGTGCTTTTTGAGAGAAGAGACCATAGAATTGAGACACCACAAATGGGATGCTTGCAAACAATGTTTGGATGGTAAGTTAGATTGAAGTTCCGTAAAACTAATTTCCAAGTCATTGTTTATGCTTTTCTTACTTAGCTTCACAGTCATGTTACTGATGATGATGTAAATTTTACAAAAAAGGCAATTGCAACAACATGTTGCCATTACACCCATTAACAAAACGTTGCACGCCATTGTTTTGTTCCATCTTTTGCATTCGCGTTTTTCTGCACCACCTGGAGGTACCGTAATACCTACGCTATTGATGAACCTACTTTAAAATTGTCATAATATTTATAACAATACATGTATATAATAATAATAATAATTAGAACCCCGCACAAGTAGTTATTTGCAATAACTTCAAGACATATTTATGTGCTAAACTTTACCCTTAATAAACTTTTATAAATAGATCCGTCAACAGACAAACTAACAGCCAGAAGCTTTCTAACGATGAAAGGCGGCCTCTTTTTTTATGATGGGCGAGTTAGCTACAAACATATATCTATTATCTAAATAATGCATTAATATAATATAAACATGAATATATAAAAGGTATTGCATATATATGTGTATGCAATGTAATATGATATAATATCGTTACGAAAATCCCAAATTCAGTTAATGTCAGCTAAGTAATTTTCGTAATAATAAATTCCCTAAAGAAAGAAAAACCAGGCGGGTGAGTTGTTACACACTCCTTAGCGGATTGCGACT